TGCAAAACTTTTATACTAGGTGTCCATAATTAAAGTTTCCCTGTTCAGTGCACTCTGTAGCAGTAACTAATCAATAACTGAATCCACGAAAATAGATATACAGATTATGCAGCGATTAAAAAAGTGTCTTGTAAAAACATCTGAAGTTGAAAATTTTCCGCTAGTTGGAACTTTACAGGAAAATATACGGCTCCACACACGGTAAATAACGTTAACTTACATTTTAATGTTATTTCAAACATTACGAATAAAGTCGCTGAAAACAATGAAATTTATGACACAGCAAACAGAACTGTATATCTGAATAATAGGGGAAAACATTGAAAGACTTACCTTACGTTAGTAAACATACTATGCAGAAAGCATGTTTCTTGCTGAAAGAATAAATACGTTTTCTTTGTGTTTTTGCTCTTATGTTTCCAGTGGTTCCCTGTAAAGCACGTAAAGCACACCCTAGCAGAAGTTTTTCAACTAAATTTTTCTTGTGAAATTCTCTTCCGTATTTTTTACATAGTTCATATACGAAGTTTGATGCTAATATCTTATAATTTACAGAAACAGATTGCTTTGAATAGATAGTCTTCAAATATGGCACGACTGTACACTACTTACCATAATATAACTTCATATACCGTTTTGTCCTACAATACCACTAGAATAATCACCATTTTTGACAGCAATGTCTAGTTCATCGAAAGTTTTCGGAACAGATTCGGTTAAAGAATACGACATGAAAGACATTAAAGTTCCACTGTAACTACTTATTAACACTACAACTGATAGCCACCATATTGAGACGAGCAATCTGGATTTAAATTTTTTTCACGTTATCTAGGTTATTTCCTAAGTATAAATGTTAATAATTAATATTTGTTTTTGTTATTGAAAGCAAAAAACGGTATACCTTGGTATACAAACGTGCAAAATAAATTACAGAACACACGGCTTCGTGGCCAGAATATTTCCACTTCACCAGTCATGAAATCATGTCCGACCACTTTATGCAATACTGATCCAAATATGAATACCGTTGAGAGAATCGCCATCCACATTTACAAACAGGATAGTTTCGTCAAAATTAATTGATATAAATATTCGATTTAAAAGCAGGGTTGCCAACTTTTAAAGCTACGAATTCCAAACGAATTTCTTTTGCGATTTCTGTTTTGTGTGCCCTAAAAAAGCCTTTATCAGACTTATGGTGGGTTTAGCAAAGTCCACAACGAAGACGCCATCTTAAAAGACGACGCCTGAGATATCGTTTCGGACTACCCGCAAAAAATTCCTGGAATTTTTCGATCTCCCACAGCAGTAAGGTTACGATAATACTACTGCTGGCGACCATAGTGCGTATTGGCAACGCTGTGTAGATGTTAAATACGTACATCCAAACCGAAAAGTTCTATTATGGAATTCCAATTTGGAATTTTTTCTGGAGCATTGATGACAAACACAACGTGCTGGAAAACTAATGGAGAAGTAAATTCCATTACTACAAAACGAGTAGGGTTGAGGAATAAACCATTAAAGGCCGATATGGCCTTTAATGGGTTATTTCATAACTTTCCATTCTGGGACCTATGCATGAGATCCTGGGACGTGATCTCATGCATAAGTCAATCTTGCAGTATTATATTCTTCAGGTCGGGAGGTATTTTTTACAATTATTTTTTTAAAGTCGTCTTGGTGACTATCACTTATTCAACAGTAAACGGATGAACTTTTACTCTATCTGATTCACAACGTTTAATGCTGATATCACACAGTTGCTTGCAACTTTCAAAATTCGTCTCTTATCTCTTCCATTAAATTTGGAAGGTCTTCCACCAATGTTTTTCGAGTTGTATTTGTAACCTATTTAATATAGTTATACACATCAGTGTTACTCCTTCCTATTTGAGCAGCTACAGCACGATAGTTTGCAACTATGGCTATAAAATATCAATTTGTCCTTGTTATTTTTCTGCTGGTTTATTTTTTCCCATGTTTAACAAATGTTTTTTGTACTCAAATATAAGCAGATCTTTTTTTACATGTATACATCATTATTATTTACACTTATATAAAAATTTGCAGTTGTTCTTTCAGTTGTATACAAGATTATGTTAACAGAAATCATTTGGTTTTTAACTTTTTGAAAGAAATAATCGAACAATACTTTTTCATTATTGTACAAACTTATTAATCGACTTTTTTAAAGCATATGAACATGCATAAACCAATAATTTCAGTTAAGTTAGTTGTTTAAGTAAATTTCTGCTAGTTTTTAAAGTTTTGCCACTATAGTTATAATTAGATAAGATAAAAAATTATACCATGCTTTTTACTTTTTCGGTTATGTTATATATAACAGAGGCAGTATATGGTGATCGGTTAAAACATGAGACTCTTCGTCATTTTTCAGTTTTGAACTCTGTAATGTTGAAAAATGCAAATAAAAAAACAATGTCGATTCTTTTGTGTGCATGGATATTTGTGGGTGTTGGCTGAACACGATTCTCTTTACTTTTTTGAAGCTTAATAACTTCAATAAATTTTGTTGAAAATTTTTAAATTTGTGGATTAGCGACTTTCACGGGACCGTTAATCTTTTGTCAGGATAACCTACGTGCATTCAAGTATGTCAATGATGGCATAGATGATAGAAAATACAAGCGCCTTTACAAAACCGTTTATTGTAATAAAGGTTGCGCCTACATATAAAAATAAGTTTTTGGAATAAAGACAAAGGCTTCTTTATTTCTGATCGAGTTGGATCAGCATAGCTGGTTCACAGGACAGCCCCAAGCTAGCAGCATCTGTTGCAGGTACGTTCCAAAAAGGTGAATGCATTTAGAGGGACGAGGATGACAGGCTTAGAGAAAGACGTTTAAGTTGAAAATCACGATGGCAATGACGAACACTGAATCCTTGAACATTGGGTTTTATAAACTTTTTCATTTGTAGTTTTTTTCTTTAATTGACTGATTTTTTTTTCTCTTTCTTTAATTGATCTCTCTATTGCCTCCAGATGGTAATTAAATTTTCAATTAAAGATTAACTGTGTAGACTTGCATATACAGAAATTTTAATTTATTTACTAATTACCGTAAGGAACTCATTAAAATTCTAATGTCAGGCTGATGAGACTTATTGTTAAAAGTATCAACGTAAACCTTTTATTAATATAGTAAATTTATAGTATTGTATCTTGATTGTTTTCAAGTTTTAGCAATTTTTAATCGATTAAAGACAGTAAGGTTTTAGTCGATTGTTTTTATAACAAAACATGTTTCTTAAACAAATATAAAAAATTTAAAAGAGCTGCAATATAAAATACTTATTGAAAAGTATTTCTAATTCTGAGGTTATATAAAACACAAAAAGAAAAATACTTTCACAATTGAAGTGTGAAAACAAACAGCACTTACGACATGTTTTCTTTAATACATTATTTGTATATTATAAATTTATAAATTTTTTTCCGATTAAATTTATGTACGCGAAAAAATAGGCACGTTGTATCATGAAAATAGTAACGCTGAAACGTTAAACTTTTTAATTGAGCAAAAAATATGCTTATTTGCTTTTGGAATACTGATTATTAAACTTAGTATGTATAAAAATATAATAATGTAATTATATGTTTTTAATATTCCGTATATTACAAATCAAAATTCAACACAATTAAACTATAAAATAATGTTTTCAATACAATTTTCCTCTAGCCTATTCCATACCGAATAAAAAGGTAGCAATGAATTAAAAAGCACAATACAAGTGTCGAAATTTACAGTGATATTTGTTGTTCGGTAACATTGAAACAACCTTGAAAACTGAAACATCATACACCTTCGAAAAAAAAAATGCCAGTTTCGTTTAACATAAAATTTATTAAAGTTAACACCAAGAAACTACAAAATAATTGAACATGAAATCATAATTTTTATCCTTACAATTTTTTTTAAATATATTGAACAAACTTAATATTTAATAGATTGCAATGTCTATTGTTCATAATGTGCCAATTACGCTGTTGTACTCCAATTCAAATACGGTTAAGACAAAATTAGTATATGAAAAACAGGCTATTGTTTATAGTGATTGTCACAATGCCGAGCTGCAATTTAAAAATATTTCAAACTATAGTGGCTTGTCCTAGTACAACATACAATACTTATTAGCAATAGAATCGTGCTGCTCATTTATCTAATTCTTTTCGGAATAAAGTTTTAAATTGAAATAATTTTCTATTATTTCATATGTATTATTGTGAAAACGAAACGTAAAGCACTTTACCTCTCTATTACCAAATATAGTGTAAATATTCAACCTGGCAGAATCCTTAAAATACAGAACAATTTTACATATATTCTCTCAATAACTAAGCAGAGAAGCGACAGAAGGTAGCCCAATATAAGTAACAAAGACGGGCTGATGATATCTTGGATGGTTAATTCGCGAAATTCTGAATCTCTGTTTGTTCTAGATTGTTCGGCATAATCGATTTTCTCGATGATTCCAGAATCGAATATTCGACTCGTTCTGAAAAATAAAATTTTAATTTTTATACTCAAACGAGCAATTATTGGACTACAATTTTGAAAAATTGTAGACTTATGAATTTCAAGTGTAGTTTGACTGTCAACGGATCTGTGTGTCTGTCTTTCCTTAATCTCGAGAACGCACTTCGATAGATGAAAAGAAGGGACCAGATATGAAAACAACGGGTGCAGGATGCCTCAATCAACTGTTCGGAATCTGCTAAATCATAACGAAAGTCATGTTATTTCAATTTAAACTTTACCTCTGAAAAATTGTAAGATAGTCAACTGACACGACTGGTGTTGTTAAAGAAAAAGTATGGTATACTTCGCAAGAGAAAACCACTACTTTGAGATAAAAAGCATATATTCTATATTACATAAATTGAAGATATGAATAAATACTGGAGCCTAACTTTGTGACTAGGTGACAAAAAATTTCAACACGATATTATGACGATTACAATATCGTGCTGTAACTTTTAATCATATTTTTAAAATAATTTAATTTAAAATATATTATCTCCGTAACAGATTAGTAATGTCTGATCTCTGTATTTTATATTTTTCCTGTCAGAAATGAGCAGTGATAGTCATTCATCGAACTATTTTTATGGCCTTTCAAGTGCTGTCAATTTAAAACAAGATATTCTCATTCAGTTAATCTGGTCCTTCTCCTCGTACGCTATACGTACCTGGTTTCGCCGTTTATCTTACTAACACTGTTCTTAAGAGTAAAGAAAAACAGTGAGATAGTTACATCGACGATAGTGAGAATTTACAAGTATGCAATTTCCTCAAATTGTAGCCCAACAAAATGTAAAGCTTCTATTAACTTACATTTCGTGGATTTGATGTCTGAATGGAAAACTCTTTCTCATTGCATATGCTTCCATAAATGTAAAAAGTTTGTCATTAGAAAAAACAAAATTGTTTAAATTTTTCCAAAGTTTCTTTTTTAATACATAATCACTGAATATTAAAGCGAATCGTTCTTTCTCTACTCTTTCAATTCCTTTGTTTAATTCCATAAAGTTGTTGTTTTGTATTATATGGTTTGATATGATCTTCGCCGATTTTAACTTGGAATTCTAGAAAATTATTTGACGTAATATAATATATAGTTTACAACTATTTATAATAAGTTGTAAACTATATATATAGTTTACAACTTATTATAAATAGTTGTAAACTATATATTATATTACGTCAAATAATTTTCTAGAATTCCAAGTTAAAATCGGCGAAGATCATATCAAACCATATAATANATATAATAATATATAATAAGATATATATATTAATTTTATTTAATTTCTTCACTTACCTCAATAGCTTGCCATAAAATAGCTGTACTGGCTACTCCACAAGAATATTCCCCTGTTAGTATAGAATTTGCTAACTGATCAAAAGTGTTTGGAACTTTTTCAGTAAGAGGATACGTCATGAACGACATTAAAGTGCCGCTATAACTAGAACCTAGAATAACGATGGATAGCCACCATATTCCAATCATAAATCTGGATGGAAACCTCTTCATACAATCCAAATTTATTCCTGCATATACAAAATTCCTTAGTGTATACACAAAATTCTATTTACGAATTAAAGAAAAATAAGTGACCATACCTTGATATACAAAAGTTCGAAACAAATTCCATAAAACCTTACTTCTTGGCCAAAATACGTCTATATCTTGTATTTCAAATTCTCGTTCCAACACTTTGTGTAATGCTAGTCCATACAGAATGACGGTTATAAACAGAGCGATCCAAATCTAAAAAAACGAAATACTGCTATTATGATAAAATGTTTATAACTGAAATAACAATTACTTGCCATAAATGAAAATGGAGCGATAATGAAACTCCAATTAGGGATCTTTTCAGGTTTCTTCACAATGAACACCACAGAGTGAAATCCTGTCACTGCAGAAAACTCCGTGATTGAATACAAATCGAAATTAATAAAAATTGGAACGATTCCCATGTCCACTTCCTGATAATTGAGAAGTTAAGTATTATTATATTTCAGTAATAAGTATAAAGTAATTTCTTACAAAGAAGTAAATATAAATATTTTTAGAAAAATTAATTTTTCTACTTAAACCTAATCTACACTCATACTCATATTAACATCCATACATAAAGGTAACTAAAAATTCGAATTTTTTTTTACATTTCTCAACGTTCCCAAAATGTTTTGAGTCCAATAATGAAAAATTTTGCAGGAACAATTTTTCCGATCGCCATACTTTTCTTCTGTATTATACAACCAAAAAGTAAAACATAATTTTATAACATGAGTCTCTTAATATGTTTTAAAGCCTTTTTTATCGTCTACATAACAAAGTTTACAGACATTCACAGATTTGCTTATACACAGTTTTTTCTACATAACATTTCGAATGGTAGTAATATATAAATTCAAAATCCAACAAGTTAGATTAAAGTTGTGTATAATTGTGTAGAAACGTAGTGTACATTGAATATAAGTTTTCTTTACAAAAACTTTTTGATACTCTTTTATTAACGCTGTTAAGTAACTAATACAGTATTATTCGAGAAATTACATGCGATTGACTTTATTTTATGAGAATTTTCAAAAATTTACATTAATTTTACATAAGGTACTAAAAAATCACAAACCTTTTATGTATTCTATATGTTACTGCTAAAGCTCGAAATCCGTTAATGTGCGCATTACCTAACTAATCTGCAGATTAACTAAGGTGATCCGTTAAAGCTGCGAAAATTATTTTATTTCTCAAATTACCTAGGCACTCGGTAAAGAGAAAATAAGATCTTTGCTGGAACAAAACAACATTTCTGTATGCTTAAATTAACATAATGTTATTTATTTAATTTTCGATATCTTAAGAATCAAGTTAATACAATCAAACAACCAACAAATCAGTTGATAGAATCAATCATCAATTTAATATATGAATAAATAATTAAAAAACTGTAATACAAAAATCAAACGGTTTAAAATATTTTTCAATTAGGGAAATGAATTGAAGGACAGGTTGTTAACGCTTCCCCTCGCGTGGGAATTAAGACTTACCCTTAAAAACTCTGCATTTACTGTACTATTTTAGATGCGGTTTATTGCGGCTTTAATTGCGTTCTAATAGGGTGCGTACACTAAGAAGGGACTTATCGTAATTCCCCTCGCGAGGGAAAGTATTAACAATGGAAGTGTTAATGTGAGAGTAGCGTGGGGTACAGGGTAGGTCTATTACGCCTGTATCACTTACTAGGCACAGATTAACCGAAATCTGTCTCCTAAGTTTCGGATCGAGGGATCCGATCTTAAAAAGTTTTATAGGAGGGCGATAATCGCTAATTCATCCGAACCGCGAAGTTCAGACGCTCGTCAGGACTGACACCAGTTTGTCAATTAAATTCCGCGGACAAACACGCGTATGAGACCCGATTCTGATTTAAAATTAAAAGTCATGTTGATTAAAAACGAAACAATAAATTTAATAAAACAAGAAATTAAACTCATACAAAATGTGGATAAACGAGAGATAGAATTACTACAAATAATATACAAATCGGGAAATATCTATACTTATATTATACCCTATTCGCGATCGACAGAGAGCTCACAAAATCGTTATAAAACATACGACCTGTTTTAGTTGTCGGTCGTCTTCTTCTCTGTATGCAAGGGACACTTTGGAGATAAAGTTCATTTACTTCTTCGTATGGGAGATCACTAAGTGCGCAAAATCAAAGTATAATTTCTACGTGCAGACTCTAGACTTATTCTGTATGTGACTCGTCTAAGGACGGACGGAAACGTATATGGAGTTTGGACGCTTTCAGATCTGTCGCTGAACTCTCCGAATTCTGACAAGTTCCCTGTATATCTTCGGAATTTCGACCAATCATCGGCCAGTAACTCTTTCATGAGAACGGATGAAAGGGGAATGAATGAGGAGTAACCATTTCCCATCGGAGCGGGATTTTAACCAGATAAGGGAAAGTCAGAGGATGTTCTCTTCTGTGAAAGGAAGTAACATCTGTTATCTGGGTTTTTCCCACGTTAAAACAGTATTTTTCTCACCAAAAATTAAGTAATATTAGGTGACATTATTTTAACATTATTAATAAAATATTAATTTAGACCCAGGGCCTTTCGGGTCTCACATTAACAATGAAACTGTTAACAATGGAAGTGTTAACAATGAAACTGTTAACAATGAAACTGTTAACAATGGAAGTGTTAAGAGAATGTGGCATGCAAGATTAACAAGCGCAGATGCGTTTTTTTGCGTTTTTGCAAGAAATAAAGCATATTTTTAGACCTATATAAAAGGGAGACTAATTCTAGCATTTTGTGTAAATGGGTAACATTGGCTATAAATAATCTTAATCTTCGCTATCGTTACTTTTTGCCCAAGCAACGCCAAGCTTATTTGCTTGTTTTTAGTGACTTTGTCAATTATATAAACTGTTTTTAAAGACATCAGGAGTAAGAAAATACATTTTGTATTTCGTAGAATCATATTTGAGGTGAATCACTGTTTAATAAAAAGGAAACGTAGAAATAACCCCAAGGATATAACGTAAACTATTTAATGCTATTAATTATTAAGCTGTGTTTTTGCAGATGCAAAAAAATCTAATAAAAAAAAAGAAAAAAAAACAAAAAAAGTTCAGTAAAGCAAAGTTACACTCATAAAAAGTACACTTTTTTTCCTTCAAGATGTGTTCATGCAAAATTGTAAAGGAGATCCCTAATGAATTTTTATTACAATATTAAATAATAATAATAAATTTTAAAACGAATAACACGAAATATAAGCGAAAATTTCCCTACTGAAAAGTGAAATTGCAACATTATGCAAACAATTCAGTTAGCTTTTGCATTGGGTCATATGATACCCAGTTTTGAGCGAGACAAACTAGCAGCTATCAGGGATGCTTACCCGAACCATTTGCAATGATTTCGTAAAGTTAGGCTTTATGCTCGAAAACCTGCAATGGGGTTCCATTAACTGCTCGACACAGAAGTGCACACCTAGCGTGGAGTTGTTGTTATCAGGATTGAACCACACATTAATATCGGGTATTGTTTACGGATAAATCTTTCTTCTCTCTGTCAATGAATTTGTTTGCCTTGGACAAATGTGACTAGGTGCCAGACCTTTTAGTGCAGTATCGCACTAAGCTGAACTATTACTGTTCGCTTAGACATCATTTTCCAACAGCGGGCAGCTCTACTGCACATTTACGGTACTATAAATGTGAATTAGTGTTTCACAAGAATTGTCAGTACGGTGGTTCAGCACTGGTGCAGGCCGCACCTGATTCGGTTTTCGAACAACACAATTCCCGACTGCACATTTCATGGCAAACTCTCACCAGAATGAAGGAAAGTCTCATCGCTACCTTGCCGACAGCTTTGCCAGATTTCTCTTCTATCGAACATTTCATTGCCACATACTGTGGATAAATAAATTCTCAATCTGTAATCCGTGGAACACGGATTGAGAACGGATTGAGAACGCTTGAAGTTTCTTCACAGATGCTTAGATAAAGCAACTTCAAGTGTTCCGCAAAAAAATCTAATATACAATTAATTAAGAATTGTTGCAAAAGAAAAATCGATACAATGTAAAATAATTTTTGTATCGGAATGTAATAAGCAAACGCCAATGACATCATACATTAGAACGAGTATGCTGTTGATTTCAAAAATTTTTACCACTCGTGCTTTAAAACTGATGTATTGTAAGTGTTTCGCGAAAAAATATCAAAGTTTCGTGTTTCCCAACTTCAAAAAGATTGAGAATCACGGCTGTAGATGATATGTGCAACACATTGAATTCAGCCTGGCAAGAGATATCTTATGCGAACATTAATTCCTTCATTGCTAGCATGGCTTGTCTTTTAGCAGCATGTATAGCAGCCCTTAGTTGCCATACTCATTAGTGAATAAACAGCTGTCTGTTACAAATTTTTCATTTGTTTTTTAACTGTACGCATATGTACAGGACTTTTACTCTGCTGGTGCTGCAATGTGCACGTGGCTACAAACATTTCTTTTTGCTGTTACGATTTCACTTTTAGAGAATATATATTAACATTTCCTTCCTGTTATTTATACTTTTCTTCATTATGCTTTTGTTTGTTTTGTGGATTCTAGAATGTTTTCTTCACATTTGACAGATTGCCAGCATTTTTCATCATCGCCATTATATTGCAGTTTTGCTCAAAAGCGACGAACTATTGCGAGTGCTCCAAGATAGAACAGGTAAAAAAGTACAAGAGAAACTGCAACAAGTTGAGCTTTGACGAAAAAGGAAACTGGCGACATATTCGCACATTATCTGCAAGAACTCCATATTCTTCTGTTGCTTAAACTGTATCATAAATTTTTAATGGTCTCTTTTGCATGAGTTTTCTTTTTATTGCGACTGCTTTAATGCAGCCAAATATTGGATATGATGATAAATACAAATTTCGTACAGAATATAACTACAAGTGTTCATTTTGCATTATAACGTTGAAAATAAATTCAAAATAGCTTTTCTTTAATATGTTAAAGTAAGTTAAAGAATCTCCAGATGGCTAATCTGTAATTAATACGAAAATAATTTTTGCACCAGATTCAAAAATGTAATAAACCAATACACAAGTATTTTCGAATAAGAAGAAAGTTAACATAAAAAAGAAAACTATGATATAATATTTACATGAAACTGTTGAATAATTAAATCACTTACCTGTCTTGTAATTTTTCCAAACATTTCTGTCCATGTTCCATTTTTGTTAAATTTTCCAAAGAAATCATCTACTGGCTTAGCTATGGAATAACTAATTGTATACAAATAATTATATTTTTGTTA